ACAGAAATTATCAGACCGTTAGAATTCACGTAAGAATCCGCTTTACCGCTGAAAGTCATTTTAACTTTCGGTAATACTAAATACAGCAACCAGTACTTAATATCCATTTAAGCAAAGAGCTTCATTTTAGTCTCATTGTCTCATATTAGTCAAATATTTCAGAGTTTCTCTCTAGGCTAAGATTTGATGTTTGGATGCCATTCAGTATCGTGCATATTATAATGAAGGTTAACCACTAGTTAATAGACAAGAGGCATTGTCAGCCCGAAACAAACAGGTTCGTTAAAAAACATTTTCTCAAAAGTCGACTGATGATGACAAACAGCTTCAAGTCGTAAACCAGCAGGCTGAAGTAATCTTTACAACACGTTTCCTTTAGTGTTACCAAACCGTGATACTACGTTATCTCTCCAAGTGATACGTTTTTTAGTGATACGTGTTCTAGTTGAAAAATCACGTATCTCCCCAAGTGATACGTGATTTTTCATCTAAAAACAAGAGTGTTCATCATTATTTCCATTTTGATTTTTGATTCAATCAAAATGTTAAAAAAATTCGATTTGCAGAATGTATAATTAACTCCATATAAGTATCTATTTGTTACTCCTAATTGATGGAATTCGATTACACTTGTAAAGCGCTTTTATATCTCTATCCTATTTGTTAGCTTATTCCTTTTTTTTTTTTTTAACTTTTATTTTGCCAGAGCTTTATTACGTTCTTATGACGTATTGCATAGCAATGTACCTAAAGTTAACTGGGAGGCTTTTCTTAAATGTAATTTTTTATTTAAAATACATAAGACATTTTCATGCATTTTACGATTTTTGATAATTCTATTTCAGAATGCATATTGGTCTATAAAAGAGATGAACAACAAAACCTTAATGTCTGTATAAAAGTTCTCAAATCTCGTACTTTTAATCAGATTTTGATGATCACATGCGCAAAATATACGGTAATATCTCTTTTAATTTGCACAGTAACTAAAAAGATTTTAACTATTAAAATTTTAAAATTAAACAATGGTAACTTCATATTATTGACTTTAAAATATTGTGGACAAATATTTTTGTTATAACTTCTGTAAAGTATTTTCTCCCTCCTTACCACGTGCCTTCGCTGTGTAAAAAGAAAGCAGGTCTAGCTAGCAGTCGGAAGTTCGAGACCCGGCGAGGACACTGCTCCCGTTTTCCTGTTTCCTGACTCCAAAAATAATAAGCCTCTGCAGTGACTCCGGAATTAAAACAAATACATAAATAAATAAATAAATAAAAGGTGGTGGACGGTAATTCCTCACCACGAGGATTTGACGATTGGATTCCTTCCTGTCCAGTTGCACTTTAAGTTAGGAGAATGTGGAGTATTTTCTCCCTTCTTACTACGTGCCTTCGTGATGTAATCGGAAAGCAAGTCCGGCTAGTATTTGAAAGTTCCTGAGTTCGGGTCTCGGGTAGAGCATTGCCTATTTTTCACGTCAAAACAACTTTATATATATATATATATATATATAATAAGAAGTAACTCGCATTTTAAGATCTGTTCTCAGGGAAATTATGGAGTTTTCTAATATAAATGTGATAGTGTTATAAAATAATGCTTAATGCATGGCATTGTTTAGAGGTCAAGATAAAAGGACTTTTTCAAAGATTAACTTGCATTGTATTGAGTAAGCATTTATATAGTAATAATGAAGATAAATGAAAGAATTTAACCATCATTGGTTTGTAACAGAATCTATTTATTGTGGGTATAATTTTATCGCAAACTGGACATAGTAATCATTTGAAGAAATCTTTCTTTCGCTATTAAAAGGAAGCCTGCTGATATAATAATTATACACAAGAAAAGATGCGCAAAATCATGGAAATTGCCAGAAGGATAAATAAATAAATAATATTATCAACGAGAAGTACACTGTGTAGTATTATATTATTGTATCTAAGAAGCTTGTGTCAAAGTCCTGCAGACCCTAATAGGCTGATAGCGATATATCACTCAGTCTGAAATAAATCAGAAAGTCTTAAAAAAAATTTAAAAAAAAAAAAAGGGTTAAAATAACATTTTTTATTTAAGTCTTAAATGAACACAAAGGCACAGCTTATGCGATAGATGATCTTCCGTTACATGCGGATATTTAAATTAAATGAGGTAACGTTAAATACAAATGTAGGTAACGTAGTCTATGACTATAATACAGAATAATCTACTTAAACTGCCTCAGCTAGTTTAAAGACGCATATTTTAAACGACGGCTAGCAAGATGCCACAGCCGTAATATGATTTAGGCATAACTGGATATGGCAAGTAGAGCAAGACGCTACGGCCAGAAGCTTTAATTTAAACATTCAGAATCCTCAGCTTAAATGCGTAAAACTAATTTGTCCAAAACAATTAATTTGCATTCTGGCGAGGGCTAAAGAAAGAAGTTATAGTGAAGGCTTAAATCATAATAACTGGTTAATTAACATAAAATACCTTACACCTGAAACCCACCACGCGAATCTTTCAGTTTCTGGAATCCTCTAAACGAAGCTTTGATACTATCCCTAAATAAACCTGCAGGACATGTCTATTGAAATTTGTTTTTCAAATAATCGCAATTGCATTTTTTTTTCAAAAATTCTTTGCTAATTGTTTTCCGACATTGAGAAACAGATCATTATACAGAATTTTTTCATGTATTTCATAGCTGAAGGAAATCTTATAAAAATAGTGGTCAAAAATATTTTTAACAATTTTAAGATGAATATGCTTAAAATAGAATGTTACAAAGCTTTGTATTAATAAAAAACTATCTTCTGAATTTTAAGAGGTCTGTTTTGAGCTAATGTATTTAAAATTTAAATACTGTTCTTTTATCTAACTGCAAAGCTCCAAAAAGAAAAAAGGTAGAACGCGAAAAAGAAAATAATATTGAAGATTAAATTTACAGCAATAGTGCAAAATGTCCTGATCCTACAAAAATAATGTTTGTATCAAACAGAATAATATATATGTATTATGCATACCAATGACAGTAATTGAATGTTTTGGCCTTTTACAGTTTTTAATTGATTTTTACTTTATACACACATATATAATGCCAATACAGAATAAGAATTACAATTTAGGTTAAAATAACACTCCGAACAGATATTAATTTTGAAGTCAAACAACAAAAATCAGCGTTATATTTGCAAATTCTCACAGTACTATATATACCTCGCACACACACTTTGGCAGTTGAGGATGATGGTTCGGTAAAACCATCGAAATTAGTCCTGTCAAAATTTGCAAATATAACGCTGATTTTTGTTGTTTGACTTCTAAATTAATAAGAATTACGAGTTGAATACTACGTAAATCACGGTCGACAAAGTCGTAATAGGAAAATGAAGAAAGTGAACTAATTCAATTAAAAATTTATATTATAAAAACCAAAAATAAAATAAAAAGAATTTTGAAATATTGTAAAAGAAAAGGTGACAGATGGAAGAAATTGCCTTACAATCACTTAATGTCTGTGAAAAAGCAAATTAAACTGAGATGCAAAAATATAAATGCAAATAAAAATTATAGCAGTATGACAGAACAAGTATCGAAAAATGAAAGATTGAAAAGATTAGCTAAATAATGCTGACTCTTGTCTTAAATAATCCTTCTTTGCTTTTGTTTTTGTTATTACATATATACATTATTTTGACCGGAAAAATAACAGTTCGTATTATTTACAGGTCAACGTCTTAATTTAAAGCCTAAAAAATCTGGTTTCACCCCACACTTACATATATATATATAAATTATGTTATAAGACTAAAATCAGTTCCTATTTAATTTAAATTTTTAATCTAACCTATTTAGACTGAAGAACGAATTATTGGCCTATCTTTCCTTTCGATTCCAGAACGATAATGTAATTTCAAAAATATAAAAATAACTAAAATATTTATTTCCGTTTCAGCGTGAAGTTACAAAAAATAAAGCAGTTGAAAGAACTAACTTCCTCTTCTTGCGGGTTGAAGAGGCAACAATGATCCAAATTATTTACAAGTCAACGTTTTCATTGCACAGTTCCTAACGCAATATTAATCAAACTTACCAGTTCGTAGTTTTACCACTCTTAACAAATATATTTGAGTAGAGGCTTACGTCTTTCACATCATGAAAAATAAGGTGATAGTGTAATTTAGAAATCTTTAAGAGATAGCAGTTCTCTCTTAGAGGAATTTAATAAAAAAAAAAATGACAAAAGTTCAGAGTAATTTTTAACTGAATACAGAGATTTTGATCTTCGTTTACATAAAATGGAACTATTCTCTTTCAAAGTGAAATAAGAATTACTAGTATGCTGCTGCATTCAACTATACTTTGTTTTTAAAGAAAAGTTTTATTGTTGGAGGCTGTCCAAGTTTTTATTCATCGAATGAGCTGAATTTTTTTCCGAATTAAAAAAGGACTCAAAGTTCAGAAATAATAATGCTAAACCACTGCTTTTAAATTTTCTTGACGCAGAGTCGAATTCATTTCAGACAAGTAAGATAAACACAGATATTTGAATTTTTGCAGCCTGTTTAAGGTAATTTGCATAAAAGATAGAAATTGTACTGAATGCAATTTAAAGGATAAACATCAAATAAGGGTATGAGAGAAAAACTTTTTTACAGAAATGAAATGTTTAGTTGTATACATTTCAAATTTAGAGAAATTTTGATAAGATTAGCTGAGAAACATAATAACATATTTACATAATGAAGAGATTCTTTCCTATAATTAAGTAGAATATATCTTATACGCATAGGAAGGAGATGCTTCTTATATTACATATTTTTAGCAGCTATTTTCTTGTTATTCTTAAGCTGAAAAGTTTGCTTGCAAATAATCATTAAAAAATTATAAAAATCAGATTCCAATTTGTGGCAAGGTCTCAAACTGTTGAAAAATGCCTAAACAACACTTCTGAAATAAAGCATAGAGAAAACATGTCACAATAAAAAAAAACGTTAATAAAATATCCTTACCTGAGAGCTACTTCATTTACAAATATATCCTGTAAAAATATCCATTAAATTGTTCAAAATTCTGAAAAAAATTTTGTTCTCGGCAAGAAAGAATCATTTCTTTTAGAACATTCGACATCAACGTACGTAAGATCATCCGTTTACATATCACAATCGAGTGACAGGTTTCTGGACGAAAACAGGAATAGCCCATAGATGACGGAAAGACAACGAGGATGTGCTAAGACCGCCGCTCGTATCCTAGAATTGACAGTTACCCTTCGGCCGCCAGTAACCCGAAGAGTTGGCGGCCCAGTTTCTTACCTTGACAGCCCTTGGGCGGAGCGGTATCTTGGATGAGCGTTCAAGCCTGACGTCACAGTGGTTACACGTCACAAAATGAAAACTTAAGAGCGCTTCTTTCATTTTTTGCGCCAAAAAGAATCATTAATCGTCATTTAGTTAAGGTTAGCAAAATTTGCCTAATTACTACTGTATAAAAATGTAGGCAGACAGCTTACTTTCTCTACACATAAATTTAATCAAAGATAATTTCAAGGTATTTTTTTAATGAAAATGATATTTTGCTACATCTTCGAACTACCAGTGCTCCGGATGAAATTCCTATTTTTTAAATTCTATGCATATACTAATTGGGAATCAATTATCTTTTGAAGGTTAATAAATTAGAAAAGAAGTATGCGCATATGCAAATAACTGGAGCTGTGCCAATAATTCGCACATATATTCTAAACGCTACACTATATGCAGCTGTCTGTCTAGTCTATTTCTTTACATCAGTGAAAGTTCCACTAATGGCTAAGTGATTAAGACCGCTGAACACTGGGAGTTCGATCTTAGCCGAACGGGCTGGCTGCATGGTTGGTTTTCGTAGTTTCTACATGAACGCGAATACAAGCCAGTTTCCCTTACAAAGTCTTCCACGAATGCATCCATCACCCTCGCCAGATACACCTCGTGTGCTTTTCCATGTTCAGTTAACATTTACATTACTGGTTGGCAAACTGAGGCACGCACACACTTAAGCTATGCAAGCAACTTTCGTGGGGGGGGGGGCAACCGAAAACACGAGAAAGGCTCAACCGTAAAATAAAAATTCTTATTTCGTTTAAAAAGAAAAGGTGATTTTTTGATAAAAGTTCTCTCAGATTGCTAGCCATGTCTTAAAAGTTTATGATGCCTTTCTTAAAAACCTTTATTTGTTCTTCATCCATAATCTACCTAAAAAGTAAGTTCTGTAACTGGCTAAATTTGGGGATGAGCCTTTTAAACAAATTAAAATTGAAATTTTCAACTGGATAGCGAGAACAAAAAAGCAATAAATTCGTGAAAGAAATTAAATATATATATGTGTGTGTATGTATATATATATATATATATATATATATATTGAGGATTCATAATCTCCCAACTACAGAATTCCGATTAAAATTTTAATTAGAGAAACGTCAGTTTGGGTTTACTTTTTGTACTTCGTTTCCTAACTTGATATTGTGCATTACTAAAGAAATTGTATAACACTTATTAAAGACAATTTATAGTAAAATATTACATTTTTTAAATTTTTTTCATTAGCAGTTCATAACAATTAATAATAAAGGAAAATGTTACAGTATTAAAAATGCCTGATATTTTAATTATACATTATGCTTTCACAATGGATTTAAAAACTGCTTCAGACGATTCCAAATATTTACAAATCCCTTTGAAAACCTCAAAGAAAAAAATTTATCTTGGGCGTGCATTAGATTGTAGAATTCCTCACTTTGTAAATGCTAACTTACAGTTGAACGTGAAGAATCTTAAGAACTGATAAGCGAATAATCGCTTGAGTTCGTGTGACAAGAAACAACAAGATGGAAGGGTAAATAACTCTTTTTATTATTCAAATACGATTTAACAGAACTCCGTCTTGGAGTTGTACAATAAAAGCTGAAACTTGGACTTGAATTTAAGAGGCTAAAAATTAAACTAAAACTAATCTAAAGAGATATAGCCGAAGCTATCAAGATTCTAACCGAGTTGTCCCCTTAACGCTAATTGACTGCGGAGCTATCAAGGACCTAAAGTAAGGCCAAGCGTAATAATAGCTTACGAGGGAGTAGCCTAAAAAGGCAGAATACGCGGTAACCCTCTCTCTAAGACCGAAGTACTTCGCGGTTAAATACCTCTCTTCTTCATTATGTATTCAGACTTGATTCTAAAACTACGCTCTGGCCGGAAGTAGTAAGTTGAAGTTAAGAAATGACAAGAAAGGAACTTTAACTTAAAATTTAACTGTTAATCCTTACATAGCTTCCGACCAGACTTTAAATAGTCACAAGTTAAAAGTCTCTAAACGACGTTTAATAAGTTTACTTTATTCATTCTTTTACAGTATCAAATTTAGGTTCAAATACAGCAAGTTAGCAGATGTTTTCTGATTTATTTTTTAAACTTGTATTTTTTAGTAATTTTTGTAAAATTTTTGAAAAGCGTTTTGAATTACGACCTATAAAATATTTACAACTGCTTTAAAGTAAATATACTTCTAGGCGTGCTTGCAAAAAAAAATTAGTTTTTTTATTCTGAATTTTCCAAGATAAACGTGAATTTATTTATCGGCGGGTTTTGAAATTTGGCATATTTGTTATAAGCGAAAATAATGTCAAATGTCTTTTACGCCCTTTGTTAAAATTATTTGGAAAAAATGAACTTCACGCACAATAAAAGGAAAACGAAAATACGTTACCATAAATTAAGAATTTCGCCTAGTGAATTATTCTTGGTGCAAACTGAAAAATGTAAATTTTTAAGTTTCTCGGCAAATTTCTTACCAAATATATACAATTTCATATTTAGGCAGAATATAATATGTAAAATCAAAATATGGGGGAAAAGCTTTATGTCGTTTTAGAAAAAATCCGATTTTACGATCCGATTTGAAATACATATGTTAGAAGAATGCTATAAAAAATCTAATACATTCAGGCTTTCGAAACATGAAAAACGCAAATTAAGTTTCGTCAATTCGCCCACTAAAACAGGAGGTCTATTACTACCCCCCTTTTGTGTGTGTGTTTAATGTTCAGAGTGTACCACTGTATTAATTTTATGCAGTTATTAAATATTAGAGTGAAATTGATGAATATACCCCCCCCCCGAAAAAAAATAGAAAAAAAGAAGTAGTCCGTTTTCAAAATATAAAAAATGAAGCCACAAAATGCAAAAACGTGCTATTCATTGAAAATAATATTCGACACTTAAGTTTATCAAGAGACTAAAACCTGGAATCGACTACAATTAGTTTTAACAGTAATCATGGAAAAGCATTAATGATAGGATTTAAAACACGATTCTAAGATCAGACCTCCCGAAAAATTCGGACGACTGCGGCCGCCAGCTCCGGTGTCTCAAGTCCATACAGAATTTCCTTGCAGTATCAAACAGTGGTATTATTTCGAGTTTTAGTATATTTGCGGCGAAAGCCGAACACTCAAATATAGTCTTGGGGTGAGCTGGATTTCGTGGCAGTTTTTACGGTTAATGTACGATCTTGATTTGTCCTGACGAATTTTTATGCCCTTATAGTGATTTATTCTTAATCTAGGTATAATGGATGTTATGTTTCTAGGGCAGCCGAAGTCTACTACAGATAGCTTCTGAAAAGTATGAAAAAATTTACTTGGTAAATATAATTCATCTCTTGAAAAAAATTTTTAAATTAAGAACTATTCGGAGAAAATTCGGAGTAGAGAAAGAAGAGTTAAAAGACTCGGCTTAATTGACAGCATTATTGTGGCTATCGTCTACTTGATGAAAAATTTAGAATAGTTTCTAACGAAACTGGAACCTCTTCAGTGAAAAAATATGATACCTTCAAAAGTTATAGATGCACACAAATTTAAAGAGACATTTTTAAAAAACGAAAAATGAAAAGTTGGTTTAAAGAACATTTATTCATTTAACATTGATTTTTCACTTTTTACTGCCCCTTTCACACCAGTAATAGTCTCACAGAAAGTAAAATATCAGGATTTACCAAAGCTTTATACAGGCAAAGAACATTATCTTTATATAAATATTTTTAAATAATACTAAAAATTTAAAATAGATAACAAATTTCTAGAAAAAGGAAAATACTATTGATTTTCAATTGTAATGCATATACAAAGTGGAAATGATAAAGTTCTTTGGTGACAACGCGTATCTCTTCAAAGATAAAAATAAATAAATAAATAAATAAATAAATAAAATAAAATAATTTTTTTTAAATGGAAACTGTAGGGTTCCGCTGTCATTGGAAGCTAAACTCTAAAAGCCCTACTAGACTGATAGCGAGTTATCGCTACGTCTTAAACATGTCACAAAGTACTAAAGAAGGTCAAAATAACCTTTTTATTTTTCTTTTTTTATAGTTAAACAGAACAGTTACAATTTCTGCTACAGACGAAACTTTCACCACTTGTGGGTATTTAAGTTAACATAACAGACAATTAATTTTAAATGTAGGTAATGTAGTCTAAGACATAAAATAGACTAAATTAAGCTCGCTCAGAATTTTAACGGCGAATATTCTCAAACATCGGTTAGTGAGACGCAAAAATCGGAGTATAAATTTAGACAGAGCTGGCGAGAGAAACTAACAGAGAAACGTAATTACCAGTGTGTGTGTGTGTGTGATTATGGCAAAGCCTCGAGGGCTATCTGCCTAAAGGGAAGGATGCCTTCGTGGAGGAATTTCTAAGGGAAACTGGCTCGTATACACGTTACACATGTGGAAAGCCACGAAAACGCCCATGCAGCCAGCCCGTTCGCGGGATTCGAACCTCAGACCGAACTACCAGTGTTCAGCGACTTTACCGCTCGGCCACTGGTGGGCCCACTGTGATTTCCAGAAGCTCTCGTCTAAACGTTAAAATTCTCAACTTAAATATACGAAACTTAATTTGCATTCTAGTGAGGAATACGAAGAAGGAGGTTATATTAAAAACTTAAATCATTGCAACTAGTTAATTAACATAAAATACCTTACAATTGCTTAAAGTTTATTAAATTATTTCTTAAATTTTCACTTTGTAAAGTTTAGTAACCTTCTTTTCAATCATAAACTGTAACTAAACTTTAGCTAGACTCACAGTGAATTATCGCTAAGCTTAAAGTAAAATTGTAAACTTGAGAAGGGTGTAAAAGACTCTTTACTGTGAAACTAAGACGAATAGAAGGCACACGTGGAGCTTTCAAATCAGCCAACCAATTGTGGCGAGATAATTTA